ATCTTAATCCCTCTGCCCACAAAGGCAGAGAGACATCAGAGTTGACTTCAGCACAGGACAGGCCTTCAACAGGATGCCAGAAAGTCAAAGCACAGGTCCCAGTCTGCCACAGTCCTTAAAAGCAGACATTTAACCACAGGAACAGAGCAGGCTTCTGAGTTTTCTAAGTTTATTTTTAGTTGTTTTCACAATCCTTGGCATCTGAGTGTATTAAAGGGATCAAAAGCAAAGACCCAGAGGAGGCTCAGCCTCAAACAATGAAGACAAGAGACACTACAAACCACAGGAAATTAATACCCCATGAGCCAAGCATCTGAGATGAGTTCATAAGGAGGAAGCAAGAGCCCAAATGCCCGCAGCTTAGGGGGCATGGTTTTCAAGTCAGTGAACCTCTGACCAACATTGCCATGTCAGTGTGCCAAGAGCAGACTTTGCTAATCAAGGTGGCAAGAGCACAGCAAGGTTCATAAGCGCATGGTTCATAAGTGCATGTCAAGATGTTCCCCCAAGGAATTCCCCACAGGCAGAATCTAAGGCTGGCTGGGCTGCTGACCTCCTCAAGCTGTTAAAATGCAGGTTAACAAGGCCAAAGCCCTTTCATGGACAGAATGGAAATGACAGGGAGCTCATTATATATGTTCATCTTGGCTACTCTGAAGTCACAGTATTACAGTGGTCACTGCATTCTTGTAAAGACTGCCATATTTTTAGCACCATTTATGTTGTCCAGATCAAGGCAATTCTCAATAGATAAATGAAAATCACAAAATTTATTCTGAAGTTCAAAATTAAGGATTAAGCACCCATGGTTACTAGGAAATGACGATCATGACTGGATATGTTGAGCTCAATGTCCTTTTTTTTATATGGACTTGTGTTCACTGATTGGGAAAAACCAGCAGAGGGCATAGAACTAGATCCTAAACCAGTTGAATCTGGTGCTTTTCATGGCTCATGAATGTCTTCACTCACACATTCATTCAACTGCTACAGGGCAGATCTCCCATCATCTGAAGAAATGAAATACAAGGTTTCTTAAAATAGTTAAGCGCTAAATATTTCACTTATTTTAAAATAAAGGACTTAAATAGAGGGGAGAGGCAGGAGTCAACTGAATATATTTTCATTAACTTTTCACATTCATTCAGAGTTCTAATCTTTTATAATTTAAGCACAGACTAGACTGTTGGGCATCTACTGCTTTTGTTTTTATATAGTATGGCAGTTAGTGTTAATGGCCAACTTAACAGAATCTAGGCTTCCATGGGAGATGAACCTCTTGGGCATGCCTACAGATGATCTGGACCGCCTTCACTGGGGTGAGAGCATCTATTCCCATGCTGGCATACTGAACTGTATAAATGGAGAAAGGAACTAGGCAACAGCATGCATTCACTGCTTTGGGTTCCCGCCTGTAGATGTCATGTGACTAGCTCTTTCAAGATCCTGCCACCTGACTTCGATGCCAAGATGGATCCTTGAACACTGAGCTAAAATAAAAACCTTTACACCCTTAAGTTGCTTTTGTCAGAGCTTTTCATTACAGCAACAGGAAAAGAAACTAAGAAAGACATCATTTTACTGTGTATTTTAAAGCCAGTTCATCCTTCAGCTCATCTCTCACAGCTCCTTAGACCTTCTTGAAACTGTAAACTGACACTGTGTTCTGCCTTTGACAAACTGGGGATCTGGCGTTTCTTTCAGATGAAAATCACACACTGAAGGCTTTCTATTTCTACTGCGGTTCTTTCTTCCTCCTCCCTTTCTTTTTTAAGGACCAACAGATCTTAAAGCAAAACTAACTATTTTATGTATACCTACAAGCAAGATTGATTGGTTCATGCTCCCAAAAAATATGCTCCTGCCTTCACAGTAATGTTTAAGACAAAAAGGAAACTGATCAAATTAAATTTTTACATCAAAAGTATATATAGCAGGAAGTGTATGTCAGTCCTGCACATGTATTATTCTCCGTTAGAGGTTCATCATGGGTGCTCTATCACCTCAAAAACATCTAGAACACCTTCAAAAACAAGACTGCCATTTCTTAGGTAAAGAGCATGAGTGGGTGAGTGGGAGGGGACAGGAAGAATAACACAGAGCCACTTCAAAAATCAAAAGAAAAAAGCTTCAACGCATAAAAACTCACAAACATACATACTACGGTGGCAATACCTACAACCACAGCTCTCACGAGGTGAAAGCTAGAAGATGGCTATGTCTGCAAAAGTCAAAATTAATCAACTAAATTAACAACAAAACAAAACCACAGATGTTCTTCCAACAGAAGTTTTATCAATTCATGTGGTATGAGGTTTTACTTAATAGTACTAAAACTGGAAGGAAAAAATACGCAAAAGGCATGCAATGTCATTTTCCTTCCAGAAAAAACTCATCAGATATGACTGAATATTCTGTAGTATAATCAAAGTGCTGACAGCTAGACAGGAGAACAGGATGAATCCTTCTCTGTGCACTTAAGAATTTTTCCTTATAACTAACGGCCACTAGACTGATAGCTGGGAAACCAGCATGGGACTGACTCAGGCCCCCCTGAATATGGGTCTCAGCCAGAAGGACTGAGCAGTCTAAGAGACCTCAGACAGTGGAGCCAGGATGTATCCCTGGTACACAAAAGGACTTTGCGAACATATCCCTCATGGAGGGATAACTGCCTTAATCTAGAGACAGGAGAGAAGCCCTAGTCCCTACTTCACATGACCTGTCAGATCTACATGACCCCAACTGGATGGCATTCCCCTACATAGGGAATTGGGGTGGGTGGATGGGAGGGGAGGGCGGTTAGAGGGTATGTGAGAGGTCAGAGAGGGTAAAAGGGAGGGAGGAAGGAAGGGAGGGAGGAAGAGGGAACTGGGATCGACATGTAAAATAATAAATTAAAAAAAATGCTTTGACTCCAAAATTTAAGTTGAAGGACAAGTTACTGGGGAAAAGGATTTCTATTTTTGTTTCCACAGAAAATGAAAAGATGTGGATTCCTTCCAGACTAATGTGGTTTGATCACACCAGACCACCTGAAACAGAGTACAAGGTGAACCTACATTCAAAACAGCTGGACAAAGCAGCCCTACAGACTACAGCCAGGATTTCTGAATCTTCTTTAAATCCCCCATGACAGCGCCCCTTACCAGCAGGAAGTAGTTTGGAAAGAAGGACGCCCAAATTCCCAAATATGTGTATAAATGTTTGTTTTCATTTAATTGGACTCTGTTATATAAAATAAAATAAAATAATAAAAAAAGGGAGCATATTCAATGTAATGCCTGTGGCAAATAAACAGGAATAAAAAAATCAAATAAATCATCAATGGCTATAAATATAATGTATAAATCTGGGAACATTTGGGGCATTATTCCAAAATTATTCTAAGTATAATCCAATTTTAAATATTTTTATATTTTATAAAATATGTTATGAACTATATAAATTCAATTATGTTCAGAATAAAAAAAAAGAATTTTTCCTTATGCAAACAGGAGGAAATGCAACTATCTCAGATCAAACTCATATACACCCAAATTCTAAGTCAGAGGCACTAATGCTGCCACCATGACCTCATCATGGTGGTCATGAATGAATCAACCAACAGATGTTGCACATCCACAATCAGCGCAGGTGAGTGAGAAAATCAGAAAATACTCTGAAGAAAGCAACATTAACATCATGTGACATAATACAAGGGAACTGTATCTAACAATATCACAAACAGGAACAAGAAAGAAATACTAAATGTAAAGAAGTTCCCAGAAGTCCAGTTCAAGTTACTAAGATGTCTTTAAAATGCAGAGAAGCATGAGTACTGCCAAAGGCACTACTAAAATTCAACAGTGATTCAAGCCCAATGGACAGTTCATCACTCCTGCTGGAAATGATCTAAACATTTCAGGTTCTGCTTTTCAAAACTGTTCAAACATGAATGGCAGGCATTTCCTACTATTTAATTACAATCAACAAAATAAAGTGTCCAAGTCAACAGTAAGCCACTATTATTTTAACTTGGCTCCTCACTCAAGGGACCCATAGCATTTCACAGTGAAACACAGAGCCTCTCTAACAGTCACACACATTCAGAACACCATTTGATGCCAGCACTCTAATCAATAATCAGTTAACAAAATGTGGTAATTTACTCATGAGGCAATGGAAGAAATACTACATCAAGATTTGGTATATCCTGAGTTTTCTTACCTCAGTCAATTTTTAAGATGTAATTTTTTAATGAAATGATAATTTATATTTTAAAGGGTTGTCCTACCTCCCAAAACAAGTTGTTTATTGTCTATATGAAACTGGATCAAATTAAGGGCTTTAATTACCCTAAGTTCAATGCATCAGGATAACAGCACCAAAAATGTTGAACTGATTTGGGTGCTATAGATGGAATACTAAAGAGGGATGTGTCTGGTCCCCATGAACAAAGACCATGGGCTATGGCCCTCAAGGGAAACAAAAGCCCCAAGGTAACCCATGCTTAGCCCTCTCCCACTCATCCCTGCCCAAGTCAAGACCATGTCTCATGCCATGAAGACAGACATATTGTTGCCAGCATGGCTGCCTCCTTCTGGCTGCCCAAGAAGTTCCAACTACGTTTGCATTGCTTACCTTGTGCTTCTGCTTTGAGTTGCCTATCAGACATCCCAGATAGTTGGCTGTCTCTCATCCTGTCTCAGGATGCGTTACATGGGTTTGATGGTTGTGAGATCTTCAACAGCATGAAAGGGGCAAAGGAGGCCCAGCAGCCAGCTCAGCCCCATATCAACTTAGGTAACACTTTTGATTTCCACTTCTATAAAGAGGTGAAAACAAACTCGGTTCTGACTGTGGAATCATAGCCACTGGAGCTTATGAGAACCTACAACCCCAGCTCTAGAACACATGTGTCAACAGGGTCCCTCAATGCAGAGCACCAAGGCTCAGAAATCAGTGTCTAGACTCCCCTCCATTCTTTCTTGTATCTCTTCCGAGCTTCAAAAAATCTACTCTGGGACCCAATTCTTAATCTTCTAAGAGACAGTCTACTTAAAATAGTATTAACTGGCATATAAATTCACTGCCCATTCCTCCAAAAGCAGATGAGGCCATCAAAAGATAATGTAACTCTCCATTCCAGGATCTCACCACTTACACATATCTCATAGGAAGACCACTAATGAACCCATCACCGCCATCCCCATAAAAAGAATAAAAATCAAAACCAAAACTACTATCTTAAAAAGTAACACTAGTTTACCATCAGAACTTTCATTGGACATATTCCTTTCCAGTGTCCTCTGACACAAAAGCATCTGCCTTATGGTGGCGTAGTTTGTACCTTCCAAAGGTATATGCTGGAGCCCCCAATGAAACACACTGTGTAACAGAACAATGAGTGAAGACTTGGGCTACTTCTCATTATCAGCAGCTAGTCTTCAGAACATCACAGTCCAGCTTGGCTCCAGCAGCCCAAGAGTTCCCCCAGATTGCCCTTGGAGACCCACACACCTAAGGGCCCCAGGAGGAGGCACTGATGTGCACCTATGTGGCCTCACATGGCTGTCCACAAGTGTCTCTCACAGACTCGTCTCCTCACACACTCTGACAGGGATATTATAGTGCCGATCATCCTCTGCTATGAGGGTCACCACAGGCCAGTCCTTGGGGGCGTCTGTGGGATAGACAGTGAGGAACTCTTCAGTGTTGTACTTGGACAGCCGGTACACCTGGATGGTGTATCGAACAGCATAGGCAAGAAGGAACATTTCAACCTGAGAAGGAAAAAGCAGATGAGTGTTCTGAGGAAAGCCACTGGGAAAGATGGGGCCTAACACCACGTTGCATCCATTACCCCAGACAATGAGTAGCAATGACTTAGTTGCAACCTTTCTCCTCCCCTTTGAGCCTAGTCAAGGGGAGGGGTAATGAAGAATTGAGAGCATATCTGATAAGGGACTTATACTCAGAACATGTAAAGAATGCTCCCAAATCAACAATTAAAACACCAGTTTAAAATTTAATAAAAAGGACTTGGAAGACATTGCTCCAAAGATACATGAATAGTCAATAACCACATTAAATCATAAGTCCATAGAGAAAAGCAAACCAAAGCCATAATGAGACAGTACTTCATATCCATAAGAATGTACATAATCAAAAAGACAGATGAGTGACTACTCCATGAATATAGCGTTTTTGCTGGGAGTGATAAAAACATGGGGACTGAAAATGTACTGTCAATTAATCACAGACTTTATATTCTCTGAACTTCATCTCAATTTTTAAAAGGCAGTGAAAGCATCATGAAGACAAGCAAAGATGGGACATGATAAACCGCTGCTGGGAATGTAAAATGGGGCAGGTATTTTCTTTCTTCTTTTGGCAATGCTACAGGGCCTTATGCATGCTATGCAAGTGTTCTGGCACTGAGCTACATTCCACATCTGTACAGTAGCTCCTCAAAAATGTCACAACATTACCATCTGCCCAAAACAATTCTGCTCTTGGACATATACCCAAGAGAAATACACACACACACACACACACACACACACACACACACACACAAAATGAGTCAATAAATATTCACAGCAAATAGAAAAACTACCCAAATACTCAAACTGATGAATGAGTAAAATATGATATTGTCATACCATGTCATATTACCTGGTAATAAAAAGGAATGAAGCACCAATATATTCTAAAACATTAAGACATTATGCTAAGTCAAAAAACCAGTCATAAAATTCCACACAGTATATGATTTCCATTACTAAGAATGTTCAGAATAGACAGATCTATAGACAGAAAGAAGATTATAACTACATAAGGTTAGAGGATAGAAGTCTCATGCTACTGGGCTTTGGGTTTCTTTATAGTTTCAACATGGTTGACAACCAGACTATCCTGGGGATTATAATGTTTTAAAAGGAAGAATTAATGGTGCTTAAGTTATATTTCAAAAGAAGCAATTGTTAAAAGAGGATTCACAATTGCAGCAGAGCATGCTGGGACTTTGAAAACACTAACTTCAGTCTAGCATGCAGACCAAATCCTACTAGACTCTTTGCCCCAAGGTCTTTGCTACAGTTCGGGAGACATAAGTGGGCTACATTCTGATTACAGTTATTTTAAGTAATCTTAAATATTTCTGGTCTAGCAGTTAAAAGACCACCAGTCTTTTGCTCTTTCTTACTCCTTTAGCAAAACAATGGAATAGGTTTCCATAGATGTCTACCTGCCAAAAAGACTCACAGAAACTCTATTTCTTGAAGTATCTGTCCTGATACTTGGGCCTTTCCAGATAAGTTAGGTACAGGAGTCTAAGTAGAAAGGTAGCAGGTTAGATTCAGAACTTTAATGTTACTTTAGTTGTTAGCTCGTGCTCCCTCTCCCTCCCTCCCTCCCTCCCTCTCGCTCTCTCTCTCTCTCTCTCTCTCTCACACACACACACACACACACACACACACACACACTCACAGTATTAACATCTTTTAGAGAAATACACAGAGTGAACACAATAAGATGACTTGACTTTTTGCTTAGGGGACACTACTGCACTAAGTATCTGCACAATACCCTAAATTTAGCCTCTATAAAAGACAGGAAATAGGACAGGCTCTATGGGCCACAGCAGCTAAGATTAAATAAATACCACAAATGGTTCTTCCTAGTGCTTTATAAAATATTTTAGCTTCCCAGAGAGTCAGAGAACTAATCTTATCCATCACTTTGCAAAAGCAATCCTGGGTCCGCATAAGGGTGGGAACTAACAAATTATGTTCACAAGTCTTTGGCATGCCTCCCTTACATAGGGAGAACTTCATTTCCCCTCCCTTGAGTAAGGAAATATATTTAGTGACTAGCTTCTAACAAATAAGGGGTAAGTGAGAGTGTGAACCTTCCTCCACACCATGAGCAGACCTACAGAGAAGGGCCTGTGCAGTGAGGAACTGAATCCTCCTTCTGACTACCAATGAAGAACTGAGGTTTCCTGCCAAAAAAGTCATTCGTGTAAGACATGCAAGTAAATCATCCCGCCCCAGTCAAGACTGTAGCCTTGAATGGCAGGAAATGCTGAAACAGAAGAACCTAGAGAAGCTGCTCCTGAACTGGCCTACAAACTGTGAGAGTCCATTTGATGGCTAACAGAGATAAAATACTCTCAAAAGGCACAACTCACCTGTTCAAGGCCACCAGTGTGTCCCACCTGGTTTAGGTGGTTCCTCAGTAGCTGTCCAGGGTCATTTGATGTGTCTCGAGCAAACAAGAGCACAGAAAAAAACGGGACATCCTTTCCCTTCTCTTTATCATCATAGAGTTCGATGGCTCTGTTTAACATTAGAAATTTTACAGCTTCATAGAGGCTATATTCCTCCTCTTCATTGGTGAACAATTCATCGCAAGCTATCTGCCTTGCTTCAGCAGTTTTCATTTCAGCCAGGCTTGCCCACTACAATAAGAAAAGTTGTCACAATCACAATTTGTGTTCTGAAAATCCCTGGCATACTTCTGCACCATGAGTACAAGATGATTTTCACAAGCAGGGGATGGTAAGACACATGTCAATGTGAACAACTTCCAGTTCTCACCTCACACAATGGGATTCTTCAGACTACATGAGCTTCTTCCCTGGTCAATGTGAAACACAAGTACAACACAGTAAGGGGAAGCACAGGGATATGAGGTGGAATGCTGACTCGCTAACTTCCCAAGCAAGGAGAACAACACCAACAGACAGACACCTGACAGAGTATGTGAGACCTAGGAAGCACAGATATATGCCTGCTACACATGAAAGAGGGTTTAGAAGTTACCCCAGAAATATGCAGCAAGCCTCTAAAATGGAAGACTGCCAAGGGAGACTGTGGGATCTCCTAAATACTGGTTCATTAAACCTACCCCTACAATGTCTTAAAAATATGTACCTAATGAATAAATTCAATCAGAAAGTCTCGACTCCTAAATAAAAATAAAGGCTTTCAGGTAATAAGAAAACTCTTTAAATGAAAATGAAAACATAGTAAATATGTGTATCGCTGTTACCATGAAAAAGAGATGTCACTATAAATACTAGTCCTTATGAATAAGCAATAATTAGCATTGCTTTCAAACATTAAACACTTGTCCAGATTTTATACTTGAGTGAAATTTTAACAATTATAACTATTCATAACTCTCTCCAATCTGTTTTCTTTTTTCTTTCTTTTTTTTTTTTTTTGTTTGGTTTTTTTTTTTTTTTTGTTTGTTTGTTTTTTCATGACATGGTTTTTCTGTGTAGCCCTGGTTATCCTGGAATTCACTCTGTAGACCAGGCTGGCCTGGAACTCAAAGAGATCTACTTGCCTCTGCCTCGTGAGTGCTGGAATTAAAGGTGTGCACCACCACCACCCTGTGCTGGCACAGATTATTAATGAGCAATTTTAATGTTACTGTAAAGTGGTATCACATACACATTCCCCCAAGGTAGGGTCTAGTTACAGTGGACATATATAATAAAACAAAACTAACAGTTTTAACAGACCCTAACAAATATGAAAAAGAAATTGCAATCCAGCAGCTGAGCTGCCAGACTCATCACTCCCTCTCTCACAGAGCTGCAGCCCATACTCACCACTCTACTAGGCCAATGGCTGGGTAGACACAGGCTTCTCACCCCTAAACACTACACACTACACTCTAACAGGCAAAGAGATAACTGTGCTCTGACAGTGCACTCTACCACAGAAAGGCAGAACTATGGACACCAGACCAAGTTCAGACAACTCTCAGGATGGTTTCAAAAGACAAGATACTATATCTACTTCCTGAAAAAGAGTTTTAACACATATGGGCAGGCTTAAAATCTAAGAGTAACTGGAAAGAACTCAAACACACAATGGTCACTGAGAATATGAATGTAGGTTAAAGGGCTGGAGAGAGAGCTCACAGTTAAGAGTACTTGCTGCTCTTGCAGCAGATGCCATGCTGGTGCTCACAACCATCTCTAACTTCAGCTCCAGGAACCCATGAGTACCCATATGCACATATAAGTATGCAAACACAAAATAAATCATTAAAAGGGGAATATGGCTAAATGATAACCCTGAAATTTATAAATATGGCAGAATAAAAATGTTATCTGAGATACATATATATAATCTCATCACCTCCAGGAACACAGAATGATGGTGTTTTACCATTTTACGAAAGACTTTATAGGAAGAATGTATGCCCTTTTAAAGTTTTATTTTTCAATGTGTGTGCATGTATATGTGTGTACATGTATAAGGGTGTATATGTGTGCACATGTGTAAGGGTGTATATGTATGCATGCACGCATGTGGAGCTTAGGGTCTGTCACTGATCAATTAGGCTAGCCTGGATAGATGGTCAGTGAGCTTCAGAGATAATCCTGTGGCCTGCTCTCCAATGATGGGATTACAATCATGTGCCACCCTATCTGGAATTTTTCCATGAGTGCTGGGATCAAACTCAGTTCCTGGACATACTGACTACACAATTTCCCCAGAACAGAATTATTTTGTCTGAAACCAGCACATTCTGGTTTTTATGAGAACCAAGAGACAAAAAGAACTTTCTTTCTTTATAAACTGCAAAATAACTATGAATAAAGAAATAAGCCTAGAGCACTGAGTCTTCTGGGGAAATGAAAGGGAAAGCTTTGCACCTATTAGACAGAAATTACACAGGTCAAACCTTCTTCCTCAGCAGGGCAAGGGACTCCTTAATTTTTTCAACCAGGTCCTCACTCTTCCCATCAAACTTTAGTCCAAGTTTCCATTGCTTGATCCAGCTATACTTGTTTATCAGCTTTTCTGGTAACTGGAATATCAAGAAACAGAGATAAAGAGGTGTCAATACTGCAAGATATCTATGACACAACCTAAAAGGGAGATACCACAAAGCCTTTACACAAAACCTACCTTAATTTCCAGAATTAAATCCTGCAATTATCCTATTGGTTCAGAATGGATAACTGAACCCCAAAGTCACAAATTCAGAAAGTATTGTCACAGACTGAATGCCTTTGGTTCAGATCCACAGGAGTGCAGCATGCAGGACACCAACCACAGGCAGGGACATAACATGCAAACATGAGGTTAAGCTGAGGAACGACCCACACTGGGTATTCACAGTAACCACCTTGGCTCTGGGCCCACCAGCAGCCTTACCACTCATTAGTACTCAGACAGGTAATTGTAGCCACAGAAGGCCCATGATCAAGTCAAAGCCTGCTCCTTCCCTGAGAAGACAGCAAAACCTAACTTCTGATTCTTAAAAACAACCCACTAAAAACATAAGACCTGTCAGTTAAGCAATATTAACACACACATTTAACCAACACCATAACTTGGAAAAGGTGAGTGGGGACTCATCAGCAATGGGAGGGTAAGGGAGCTGTACCTTCCTTACTATTGACAGAAGGACAAGTAACTGCTATGGTCCTCATTGTTCTTGTTCCACAGACTATTTCACTTGTCCCTACACATCAATAGAATCTGAAACGTGAAAGCCAGTTTGATGGATGACAGCATGGGAAAGTATTCCTTCCCAACAGTCCTGGGTGTGTCAGGATAAAAACCATAGACTTGGGCTGGGTATGGGCATGTCACTGCACTGCTAAGATTTCACCTCACCTCTATGGTCCAGTGAGATGGCTCAACAGACACACACACACTTAAAATTTTATAAGTAGAGATTTCATCCCTGGAGTCAAAAAAAAAAAAAAAAAAAAAAAAAAAAAGAAAAGGAAAGGAAAGAAAAGAAAAGAAAGGCACACCCCTGACAGTAATTCTGACTGTGCTCTCTGTCTGTGACAATCATGTGCAACTAGGATGGTTTCGTCTCTATAAAACTCAGAACCACAGTAACGGTGCTCTGCATCACTAAAGGGGGAAAGCCATGCAGTCACTCTTATCATGATAAATGACCTTCACCTAAAGCTGTAACAGGCCCACTCTTCCCACATTCTTGCAACACAGACAGGCAGTTTCTCAATTTAGTCTCATATTTATCACCAGAATCTACCATGCCCTCAAGTGGCAGCCAAGTGAAATTACAACTTGGCTCCAAGAACCTCAATCAGACAAAAAATACCTGGTAAGTGGAAGCCCAGAACTCTGTAATACTGGACAGTTACCTAAAAAGCAGGTACAACAGTCAACTCAGTTACTTCTGGGAGAAACAGGTTAATTTTCTCATTTCATTAACTCACTCACTAGTCAGTATGTTGATAAAGCGATTAATCAGTCCAGGGTATATACTTCCAGATGTGGGAAGCTTGGACAAAAGTAAAAACAAAAAAAAATTTTTAAATAAAAATAAAACATAGGAAAGGAACTAGTAGGTTAGAGGGCCAACAAGACAGCTCAGTGGGGAGAAAGCACTAGCCACATAAACCTGCTGCTGAGTCCAATCTCAGGGACCCACACAAATGGAGACGGTAAGCAAACTCCACAACGTTGTCCTCTGACCTCCACACACTGTGTGGAGGGGAGGCACAGGTGCCTGAGCACAAGCACGCACACACATTGAAAAAGAACAATGGAGTTGGACTTATTTATTGCAAAGAAGTAAACAGAACTTTAAATGCTTTCCTGGGTCACAATGGGGTCCACATAGATCACCATTCCTTTCTAGTAAGCACACAGGCCTGCCTTCTGTTGAAGTAAGAGATACAAGAAACAGACTGGCCAGGTGGTGGCAGCGGAGGCATTTAATACCAACAGAGACAATGTGAGTTTGAGGCCAGCCTGTCCTACAGAGCAAGTTTCAGGACAGCCAGGGCTACAAAGAAATTGTGTCTCAAAAAACCAAAAGAAAGTGACAGACCAAAGCAAAAAACGATGGTGTTTAAGAATCACTAGGTCACTTAAACACATCACTTGTGACTGACCTAGAGAATAGCCCGTTTTCGCTAACAAGTACCTTGATAACATGACAGTTGCAAGTATCTAAAGTATCATCCCCAAAGGAAATCACAAAGAGCTTTGGATCTTTCTCTAGCAAATGCTGTCACAGTGTTGCCCATTCAGAGATCTTTAAAAATACAGTATACTTTAAAACTAAAAAGCTTTGGCAGCCATCTCCAGGTTGTGGGTGGAGTCAGAAGGTCTTCCTGCAGTCAAGCAGGTTGGGTTCTGGACAGAAATAAGAACATCAAACATGAAGCCTAAGCAAGGATAAGAGAAAAGGGGACAGCTGTATGTCAAGAGGGGCAAGGAAGACACAGCTTAGCTCCTAACCAGGAAAACAGCAAGGTCAGAGAAGCTGAGCAGAATCAAAGGTCCCTTCCACAGGGTCATTTTCAATGGAGGACTGCTGAGCCCGGCTTCTCTCCTTTTGATGTCCTGGCATTGTGATGAGCGTTACACAGTCTGCTAATGGCAGCAGACAACTGCACACCTGCTCATTCCATGAATCTCCAGCAAAACCATTCACCTGTCTATCAACCCACCTCTCCTAGCACCTTGAACAGAGCTGGAGACCAGCGTTTCACTTGTGTTAGGAATAGCAAAATAAACTATTAAGAAAGGTCCAAACCACTTTAAGTTTCTGAGGGCACGAGAACGAAAAAGTCACTTCATCAGAGACTGAGCAGAACCAAACTCCAATCAGTGTGAACAGTGACTCTGCAGGCAAACTTTTGATGCTGTGGGAAAGAGGAAACCACACAGAGCCACTGGGAATTTAACAGCTATTTGTACATTACTCCAATTAATAAGGAAAACCACATGACAGCCACATCATTCCTACAAGGCACACATTTCAATACTGATCAATATCAAATGTAGCCTATTTATTCACCCTTTTGGGGGTGAGGGGATGCAGGTCTTGAGAAAATGCTGCACTATGTAGCCCAGGCTGGCCTAAAAAGGCACCATCCTTTTGCCTCACCATCAAAAGTGCTGGGATTACAGGTATGCACCACCCCACCTTGCTTACCTGACCTGTTTCAAATGTGGCATTTAGGATATTATGTGCATCAAAAGCTCTTACAAAGTATAAAAATTTAAAATCAATGTCAAATAAGCCCAGGAATCTAAAAAGCCTCACAAAGGTAAATGTGTTATAATTTAAGAAGAGCAGCATAAGACACCATTCGACAGGGTTCAAGCAGAGGGTTTTTTGTTTTTTTGTTTTTTTGTTTTTTTTAATAGGGTAAGAGATCATAAAAAGGGGAAAGGGAAGGGAGGAGACTGGCCTCTAGGGACAGGAGCAGAAGAAGAGAGAAGAAAGTGGGGGGGGGGGGGAAGAAGGAGAGAGAGAGGGAGAAGGAGGGGGAGAGAGGGATAGGAGATGGGCAGGGCCCTTTTAAAAGGGAACATAGTGAATGTGCACAGGTGGTGCTCTCAGTGGCTGCAGCTGAGGGCGTATCCTGTCAGAACCCCAAGGACAGGCCAGTACAGATGCCTGAATACTAATGTGTCATTTAAGCCTATAGTGACCCACATTCATTCCACTTACTCGTTGTGTTGAAAGCACAGTACATTCCTGTGTAAGAAGCCCGTAACAGGGACAAGTTAGTCAGCACACACTCATTCACTACACTTAATACAGATCAGTGCGATCAGTGCAACTGGCACTTTAACTTACTCCTAGGAAATGCTTATTGGTAAGTGTTAGATCACGCAGAAGTAACATCTTTGCCATGTTTTTATCAACCAGGCATGATGACTCACACCTGTAACTCCAGCACACAGAAGATTGAAGCAGAAGGATAACCACAAGTTCGAAGCCAGTCTGAGCTACAGAATTAAGCTCTCCCCACCTCCACATTCCAAAAAGCCCTTTATCTCATGTGTAAAGAAAAAACAGCAAAGCCATGCTAACTAATGCCAGGATTTATAAAATTTCCTTTTATAATCCACTACACAAAATGTCACTATGTGATGTTCTTTATAACGGGACACCTGGAGGCATATATCCCAAGGACACTCTACCAGGTGGCAGACTTAAAGCACTAAAGACAGCCAGGGCCAGGAAATGCCTCTCCATGTTAATGCCAACATTTCACCATGGGAATAGTACAAATTTTTTAACTGCACCTAAAATCCTGGCTAAATACTAAAGTCAAGTTGTTTCTATATGTTTTTTATGAATTCTAAACATCTAGTCTCTAATTTAGGTTAACTGTTTGTATTAAATTTAGCATTTTTTCTTCTGGAAAACATTGGTTATTTCTAGTCACTTTTTTAAATATACAAGATCACCTCAGACATGCAAAATTGAACAAATCCATACACTGAAATCATGCTGCATACAGCACCATCAGGCAGCATGAGCAGAAGAGATGTCTTCTCACAAGAACTCCCTGAAACATACCAGCATGAGCTCCGGGTCCTGCAGCCAGAGGGGCAGCTCCGCCAGCTGGCTCATGGCCTGGAACAGCGTAGCCCTCAGCGCACAGTAATTATCACCACGTACTCGCCTTATAGATGTAAATTTCTGAGAAACTTCCTCATAACCCTTGGAAGGAAACATCAAAAAGTTCAGATGGTGGTTACTGGCTTGAGAGCACAAGAAAAGTTCCACCCCTACAGAAACTGTCCTAAAGCAATGGGAAGTGGGAAAACAAGAGTAGCCCAGTCTTTCATGCAAGGCACTCCAATATCTGATTAGAATTCCATTTGAAAGCTCAGCATCTACAATAGGGGTTCTCAATCTTCTTAATGCTGTGACCCTTTAATACAGTTCCTCAAGCTGTGGTGACTCACAACCATAACATTATTTTGTTGCTACTTCATAGCTGTAATTTTTCTCCTTTTATGAATTATAATGTAAATATCTTATATGCAGCATACATGATATGTGACCCCCATGGAAGTCACAACCCACAGGTTGAGAACAAATGCAACAGACCTGACATACAAAATAAACTAATCATTCAGCACTAACCACCCTCAAAGCCCCTTCCTAAGCAACTGAGGGAGCACTTGCCACTCACTGGTTAATTAATCCCAAGTTTTGATAAAGACAACAGGAAAAGGAGGGAAAACCCGAAGTATTTCTATCATATACAAAATCCTGAGTTTCCTCTCTCTCTCTCTCTCTCTCTCTTCTCTCTCTCTCTCTCTCTCTCTCTCTCTCTCTCTCTCTCTCTCTCTCTCTGTGTGTGTGTGTGTGTGTGTGTGTGTGTATACATACACATACAAGCACATGTCACTTAGTGGTGGTAATACATTCTAAGAAAAAGTCACTAGGCAATGTCATCACTGTGGACAGATACATCAGAGTGCACTTACACAAACCTAGCTGGAATATCCTACTATATACTTGGACTATATAGGCTCTCACTGAGTATTAGCAGGGGAATTGTGCTAACAAGCCACAATGAAAAAAGAGATTAAGTCAAGTATGAGACAACAATACAATCTAGAGAAACAGTGAACATGAGATGTATAACATTGCTGCTGGTGTAACACAGACACTGTTCTACACAGAAGAGTGACACAGCTGACAAATGTGACCTCATGACTGGAAGTCCAGGTTTGTTTAAAACAGTATCAGGACAAAGTCTGACACCATAGCTACATCATGGGGGATACGAAAATTCCATCTCCATTAAAGTCTTACAGATCTGTACATGGAACATATCTATTACTTCAGAGATCAATCTAATTCATATGAAACTAAACACAGGTAATTAGGTAAATAAGGACTAACATAAAATCAAGAATCGAAGTTAACAGGCAATGATGTTAGCCAGTTTCCACCACAGCTCTCAGAGTTGTACCTCTAAATGGCTGCTTTGATCTGGTTACTGATAGATCACATCTTTCCCTGAAATAAATCCCAGACAAGAACGATGCTCTCCTAAGTTCCAAAATATGGTATAAATGGGTAACCTGAGTATCTTCAGCATTGGACTTTAATTTGCCAACTGTTGAAACAGGTCTTTGGAAGTGACTGAGACAGCAGAATAAAGTTACTAGTCAGTGAAGGCATTTTTGGGCAGATAAGAAAAGACTCATGGTTCAACTCAGCTTCCTGGGAGACAACTTGGAAGCCCTGGGTAGCTGATAATGCTGTCAGCACAGGGTCTCTAAAAGGGAAGTCTTTCACCTTGGGTGATACTAAGATCCGGGGTATTTTGTGATCTAGGATACAGATTTAGAAGAAATAGGGCTGCAGCTGGCACTTTCTCTCAGATTTCCAAGGGACCTGAGGTGAACCCTAAAAGATGAGTAATATTTTCTTTAAAAAACAAAACAAGAAAAAAAGCTATGAGGGAAACTAATTGAATTTTGAAAACTTTTAAAACCCTAAGCAAAAAAAACAAAAACAAAAACCCAAAGACTATATCTCTACCACATATGATTTTATCAAATAAGAGCTGGAGAAATAGCTCAGTGATTAAGAGTGCTGGCTGCTCTTCCAGAGGACCTGGGTTCAATTCTAAGCACCCATGTGGCAGTCCCAGGGGATCCGATGTATTCTCTGGCCTCTGCAGACACTGCACATATACACAAAAATAAATAATAAAAATAAAAATATTGGTCAATATTTCTAAAACACAAGAAATATATTCAAATTCAAAATGTAAATAACCCAAGGGGGAAAGTAACCAAAAGATACAACCTTAAATACTAGGTAGAAGTCTGACACTGCCAGTTTTGTAGCTAAGAATGGTGTTACAGTAGCAGTATCACATGGTTTACCCTCTTGATTAGGAACACTGTTGGATAGGGGTACATTCTGCAGGTAGAGCCCATAGGGTATGCTACATTTCCACTACAATCCCACTCTCCTGGAGACTGCATTAGTGTTGCCAGTATATGCAAAGAAACTAAGTGAAGATAGCTCCTGGCTTAAATGAAGAAAGACGTTCAAGACCCCTCTGCAAAGAAAATACAGGACAATTCTATACCCTAGGATTTAGACAGCATGTGTTCAAACACAGGAGGTATAGCATCACCTTGAGGCTTTTATAATATCAAGTTGAGGGCACCCCCAAATGTCTCAAAGAAAATCTCCATTGACTCAATTCTCAATAGCACTGCTATGTGTTATTTAAAGAAATTAAGTTACTGAAGAACTGATGTTGCTTCTATATTAATACTATGACTTCAAACAAGTCCTTATCTTTGCAGTCTGTTTCCTCATCTCTAAAATTAGAACTCCAATATTTACAGCATTGTCTTATTATAGCAGTTGTCTTAACCCATGTCTAAAAACATAATATGATATGTAACTTATGACAAATGGCTTGAAGAACACAAATAGGTGCATCTTGGCTGTACCTTTTTCATACATGTGGCTTTCTGAGTATTTCCCCTCCATTCTTTCTTGCAGTAGTCCATAATATCCATTTCAGGAGCCACACTTAACCTAGGTTCTGTTGAAGAATCAAAATGGGCAACAATATAAAAAATGAAACAAGTAATGAACCAAAGAATAATGGAAATAATGGTACTGCTTTACTGGGGATGGAAGGGAGTCCTTTCTTTCTCTAGTTTAAAATTTCCTGAATCCTACTACCGCCCATACCTCTAGTTCAGGCCACCACCATGCCACCTCCAGTAACCAGAGTGGTCTTTCAATGGGTCCCCCCTTGTCACCACACCCTCCAACCCATTCTCCACACAACAGCTAATCAGGTTGTAGCCGTTCTTATGCTCAGACTGTTGCAGGAGTTCCCCAGCTCATACTTGTCTGACCCATGGGTATCTATGAACACTTTTATAATTAAAAGCAAGCACATGAACCATGAGAAAATACTTCCACCATCTGTAACTTTTCATATCTATTAGGCAGAGGAAATACCTAACAAAAATTATACTTATATTTACCTAAAAACTACAATTCCCTAATAAGCCAAAAAATAACAGACCTCTCATTGTTGGCTAATCCACAGACTTTCTTTTATGTCCCCCAAAATTAGTACACCTCAGGGTTAAACAAATGTTACCAGATTTTTTTTTTAATGCCTTTAGATTCTCTTCTCTCCCAGCACTCTTCTCGTGTGTGTGTGTGTGTGTGTGTGTGTGTGTGTGTGTGTGTGTGTGTGTACTGAGGATTAAATCTGGGGCTTTAAATAAGATTTTCTTGATTTAACAGATGAGGTTTGATTTCTTGATATACACCTATGACAATGTACATGTTTGTTATGACAATTTATTTCAAAGGGAAAGTAGGCAAATTCTTGGGTTCTACTTGGTTTCTTTTTTTTTTTTAACTATTAAGGATATAGATATTAACAATTGTTTTAGGAGGAGAACCTAAAGTACTCCAGGACACAGAAACCCTGACTATCTTGTACATGAAATAAGTATTTCATTCGATTCTACATATATTCACTGAAATTGTAACTGTATAGAGCACTGTGCCAGAATTGGGAACATAAAGATAATGAAGACAAAGATGCTGCCCTGACTAGACTTCTACAGAAGGAGAAGAGACCACAAGCATTTACAAGCCAGTGTACGGCAGAAGCCAGAATGACCGAGAAGCACCAACATTTCTATAGTTGAGGGAAAGCAATTTGTTTGTTGTTTTTAAGTATATTATAAAACTGCCTATTCAAAACAAACAAACAAAAAACTAAAACAAACCATCAGTCATCATTTCTTAAAGAAAAATCAACTTTATACAGAAGGGGAAAATAATCCATGAACAGTCAGCACAGATGTATTTCTTTATGGACTACATCAAGGTTACGCTAGAAGTGAAGAGACCACAATTTCACTATTGTACAACCAATCCTTAAATAAAGGCCTTTCATCTTTGAAATTCAAGAAATAATTTTAAGAGGCTGCTCAGAGAAAAGAAGTACTCCCAAGTATCTGCCTTTCCACTCACCTCCTCCACAAACAGGAAGAATGGCTAACAGTCAGGACCCTTTCTAGGCCATAAGTTCTTGTCAGACATGGGTGTAAGCCTGGCCAGAAAGTATTCTACCAGCAGAGGAGGAGGCTTCTAGGCAGGAAGGTTACCTTCCTGCCTTCCTCTCTGCTGTCCTCACTCCTGACCCCTGGGCAGGGAAGGCTAGGGAATCCTAATATTTCGGGTCACAGGGTGGCTGGTCCAGAGGTCTTATAAAGGCAAAAAACCAAGTCAGAAGACTAGTCCTGTCTCCTGAATCAGAGGTCTGTATGAGGTAGGAGGCTTGGGAAAATGAAGTACTTTTACAGCTACAGTGTAATGTTACCTGAATTCCACTGGGCAACTATCTCTGAGAGGAGAGCAACAGTTCCCACAGGCTGACTAGACTAAGAGAAGGAGGCACAGGATGAGGCAACACCTGACCTCATCAGCTCACTGATTACAATACCCTCCTAACTGTAAACTACACAGGCTCCCATTGCTGCTTCCAGGAAGATTATTTTTATTGCCAAAAAAAAAAAAAAAAAAAAAAAAAAAAATTAAATAAGGGAAGTAAGAAACGAAAGTGGTAAGCAGACACTCAAATAACTAAGGCTTGGACCTTATGCATCACATAAGTGATGAATACAATAACCACACCTGAAAGAGTAAGAAACAAAACTGGGACTCTTCCAGGAAACTGGAACTCTTAAAAGACAGACTAAGATCAGAATCCCAAAATTCTTCTGCAAAAGGTCTGGTAGAAAATAACCTGGGTTTTGGGAGCATATAGTTTCTGTCACATTACTGCACTTGCATGAAAGCTACCAAGGACAAACAAACTGAAAAGACCCAATAAGTCTTTATTTACAAAGCCACATAGGAGGTCTAGAAAGCCTTTATGGAGCTAAGTTTGATGAAGTATCTTCACCAACAAAGAGAATGAGAGCACTCTTTGTCTCAGTCTGAGCTCCGTGGTGGAGGAAGCTATGCTGCTACAGCACACTGAGGAAGAGTGAGGACTCAGCAGGACTGAGCTATAAGGAGCACAGTCAGACTGAAGCTGCATGTCACAGCTTAACTAAAAGGCTTGGGTCTTTGTGGAGAACAATGCTGGCCAGAAGACAATCACAACAGAGCCCAGAAAGTGGAAGAGAAGAAGAGATTCTACAGCATAGGCAAACATGGGTAAGCACAGAAGAGCCTAATGCCCAAACAACACTGTGTCCTGAGTAATGGAGAGCAACACAACACAGACATGGAGACTGAGTACCCTACGCAGTTCTACGGAGAACCACTACAAAACATTTCTGCTACATGGGGAAGAACAGACCAGCTCTGGAGAAGATTCAGAAAACATCAAAACCTTATGTATCCTAATTAAATTATCACTTTTGTTAGCCGTAAATGAAATAGAAGCCAGTTCTCAAAGCAGCTAACACGTGAATGACACAATGAGAAAGCCAGCAGCATCCATACACACGCTATGCAGTCTCTACTCAGCCTCTGCACAGGCCTGCCTGCAATGGAAGGGCACCACTGGCCAGGGAGGCAGGAGGAGCACCAAGTCCACACCAGGAGCACTGGTGGGAGTGAGAAGAGCAACCCTAACAGAGCGGCCCAGACTATGGATAACCACAAAAGAACTGGTGCTACAAAGCACAAGGCCTTTTTACTGTAGTTAAATCAGATTCTTATGGCCTTCCTCAGACAAGGACCTGTGTATAGCTAACTTCTCAAAACATCATACAACTGAAAATGAAAAGTATATTCACACCCAAACTCTTCTAAGAATGTAAAGAAATAAACAGAGAGAAGACAGTCAACAGAGGCAAGGAAAAGTCTTCCCTAAATCTATCTCAGTAAATTGAGTAATTCATGTAGAAGGGACTACATGTATGCAAGGACTCCCTAGGAAAGACAGGCCACATTTCATGAAGGCAGATATACTAACCTACTGAATTTTCTATGAACAAAAAAATGTCTACAAACAAAACATTTCCAAACATACCTGATATCCCTCTTTCATGTATTAGCAATTCTTTCTCCTTTTCTATTTCATCTGCAGCACGGTACATGTCCTCCTCGCTGAAATCACACCAAAGTAGATATTTTCAAACTCTGTTCACTGACATTCCCCAATGTGTGATAACATACAGATGCTTATGAAATGCTTATAACACAGAAGCGTAACTGTTTTCATACATGGATGCCACAGTAATAAAATAGGGTCCTAGGATGCTCTACCTCTTCCACTTCAGAACTGCTCATTTAAATGGGACCATTCATATTTCACATGACTCCAAGGCAACCTAAATTAAAATTGACCAGCATGTACCTCCTGAAATGACACTCCTGAAATGATTCCACCAAGTTCCAAGAACAGAAATCATGATAATAAAAGCATTTACAACAGGAATGTCGACTTTCATAATGTTACAAGCAATTCTAAAAGCAACTACTCTAAAAACAGGATCATTATTACAATCCCCTAAGCTAAAAATTCTCAAGGCCTCTGCTGTTCCCTAACCAGCAATCAACCAACCACCCAGATGCTGCTATGTTCCCACAAGCTTTAACTTCTTTAAGAATGCAGCCACTTTCAGAGAACTATTAGTATTAGGAAGGGGGAAAATTCTAGACAAAGATAATGAGTAGGGGCTACCACTTTGACAATGTCTCCCTTCCCTTAAATATTCAGAGGCTTGGCTAGATCTGCTCAGCACATTACAGCTTTAATGTTAATCCCAGGGCCTCAAAAATACTATTAACCCAAAATAACAATAAAGGGAACAGAACACAAACCATCTTGGCTGAAAGCAAAGTATGTGTATATGAAACACCAGTAAGAAGCAGAGGGGCAAACTGTGCAGGCAGGGAAGCCCGAGGTTGCTAGAGGGGCAGCAGCTAGGCAATAAAAGCTAGTAAGCCAGGAGGAAGTCTAAGGTTCTAAGAAACTAAAAGAAGCAAGTCCATATGAAGGAATAGCAACACACTGAGCATAAAAATCAGGAGATTCCCCATGACAGTGCCCCATGCTCACAGAAGCCTGGGAGAGAGGAGTTTCAAACACAATGGAATCCAGGAAGAGGTGCCAGGCTCAAACAGAAGGAACCAAGTAAGTCAGCAGGGTACTTCTGCTTCTAATCTCTATCTGTGGGCATGGCCTGGCAGACAGAGCTGAGAGACAGAACAGCAGATCAGGACAGATGCAGAAGGGTGCCAGAGAGTGGAGTGCAGTGGGAATCTAATCAGAACCTTATGCAATCATCCAGTGTTTCCCAACTGAGAGGGAACAAATGTCTAAATCTGCACCTTGTAGATGTGGTGGTACATGCTTGTAATCCCAGTACTTAAATCAAGAAGCTGTGGCAGGAGATCTTGAAGTCAAGGCCAGCCTGGAGTATAGAAAGACCTTGTCATTAATATATTTATCAGTCATATATATGACTATTCATGTATCTATAAGATATATATGTGTAAATACACACACACATGCACACACCCACCATATCCACCATATCCCGCCAGCATGGATTTGATTATTCCTCTAGGTACTGTCCAGAACTCAGTCCAACAGTGCCACAAGCACTCTGCACTTTTACACCTGTATCTTACTATAGGTGTTCTCATCCCAACAGCTTCAGAATCCTCATCTGTCTCTTTGCTACCACATCCTGACACTTGCTGTATGGCCCTGCCCTCTACAGAGAGCAACAGTTACTGTGGGCACCAAGCCAGACTGGCAGGGCTTAGCTACCATTTATTCCAGCCCTTATTACCTCTATGTACAGCAGTTACTAGAGTATTTACTTCAAAGGACTCTTGTTTAAAGAAAAAAAACAAACTTAAAATAATGAGTACTCAAAAAAGTTAGCTACTATCAATCTTCAATATCCATTGACAAGGAAGAATACTTATAAATGATTTTTCCCGGTGATCCTTTCTTAACCTTGTTTTTTCCCTAGTGTATATGTATGCATATGAGTTAGCAGTGTGATGGTAAGAGAGCAAGTATCATGCTCCAGTGACATTTCAAGCAAACAGCATGATGTCACCCACAGAGGTTGTGCCAAAGTTAAAAGCCAACAGATGCATGGGAACAACAGATCAAAGGCCAAAAATAAAATATGACCACATGTTCTCATTCTTTTCTCATAAATGTAATAACATCTTTCTGTTATAGCTATCAGAGAAATCCTGATTCTCTAAAACAGTCATTGAAACAAATCACTTTCTTAATATATTTAAATTCTCAGAAGCTGCCTTTGGACAACACTTCCCCAATCTTGCCCTCAGCTTTCTCAGCTTCAATGAGAAGGCTGGTAAGATCTGTATGTTCTGCGGTTCCTCTTCCAGCTAACTTCTAACCGCCTATCATACATTTGCATTTCAGGCAAATTCTGTGGCTAGCCTGCATGAACTCCCCCCCCCCCCCCGTCTCTGTTCTTAATTTACAAAATAACCAAAAACATAATCACAACCCCAAGGCCCAGAGGGGGCAATCCAAAGAAGCATTTTACAAATACAAATTCCTACAAGGACCAATAGGAGAACTAAAAGAAATGAACCGCAGAACAGACAGGAGAGCTGAGTGCAAAGGGACGGCAAAAGGGTGCAGGAATTGGTGGCAGTAAAAGGCAGTGGTTCAGGACACAGTCCTAACAAGAGGAGCAAAGTGGAAGCTGCTCAAGAGCCCACAGCATCTACAACTGCTTCAGCAACTGGGCAGGCAGTTCACCCAGATCCTTGCAACAGCATTTTTGAATTTCCTTGGCCACCAAAGGCAAGCTGTAATGAGGACCTTTAGGAAGCTGTGTTTCCTTGGAGAACAGGTATATGTCGATTTTAAGGAATGAAGATCAACCCAGTCAGAAAAGAAAGCATGTAAAGGCCGGGATGAAATGCCCACCCCCCTGAGGGCGATGAGGAAAAAAGAGCACTTGCCCAAGATGCCCCAGTCTCTGGAGCTCACTCCCTAGAACAGCAAATAACAAAATCAAATGGCTCCACTGAGACACTCTGTGCTGCAGCTGAAGCTCAGGGGCTTTGTCCTCTGCATTAGAACAAAACATGGTTTTCATGTTTTAAGAGTCAAACTATTACACTGAAGACAACTACAAAAGGAAATAATATTTAAAGCTGGCAATGTGAAGCAGGCAGAGGTCTGGGTTTTTTGTCTTGTCTTTTTTTTTTTTTTTAATGGGAAGGGATAATGAAACAATTCAAGGAAAAGGGATATTAAGATAAAGTCATTAATGATGACAGCTCTAAAAGGATGGCAACTTTTACTGGTAAAGAACAGAAGCCACAAACCCCACAGGTTCAGATGGTTACCACAGCAAAAACTTCACTCCCATAAAACATGACAGCTATAAAACAGTAAAGAGAAAAATGACTGAATGTCTAGACATGCTAGTTACATTTAAACTGTAGTTTAATTGTTACATTTAAAACCAAAGCGATAGTAATTCCTAACTAGAAATTTCCTAGTTTAGCACATGGCATTATTTGAAAGTATATGTTTTCAAGTTCCATTAAATACTATTTACACATTTTCTCATGAACTAAACTATTTAAAGATTTTGTGTGTGTGTGTGTGTGTGTGTGTGTGTGTGTGTAAGAGAGAGAGAGAAAGAATGTGAGATAAGAGGGAGTTGAGACAGGCTCTCTCACAGCTGGAGCAGGCTTTAAACTCCTGAGCATCCTACCCCTCTACCTTCAGAGTACTGGCATTACAGGAATGGACCACTAAATGCAGCTAAGACTTGTTTATAAATGCTCACTGGTACAGACAAAATTATATTTCCAAGAAAACAGCAAACTAACAGCAAAGCTCAGTGAAGCAGATCTCTGTGAAGCCGTATTTTCAATTCCTGATTCAAGACATGAAATGACAACAGTCAATTCTAATTTATATACACAACCTACAAGTCAATATTTTTGTTTTAAAAAGATTCTAAAATGGATGCTTTCCTTTAGAAGAAAAAGATGTATTTAAGATCTTACTATTTTATGTGTATAAAATAGTAAGGCACTCACATGCACTAAATGCAAGTGTGTGCCTGGTACCTGAGGCCAAGAGAGGGTCCTGGATACCCTGACACTAGAGGTACAGATAGTTGTAAGTTACACTGTGTGAGTGCTGGGAACCTAAACCAGGTCCTATATAAGAGCAGCAAGTACTCTTAATCACTAGCCATTTTTCCAGCCCCCAAAATAGTTATCTAAGAGTATGTATTTCTATTCAGTTCTAAATTGGAGCCCTGCTGTTCATACATAACCTGGTCTGTCCTAGAAGACTAATGGCTCAGGCAGTGTTGCTGAGACAGAGTCAACCAGTCAACATGTCTTCCCACACAGACACAGGAAAAGTAAAGACCACTCAACCTCGCCTTTTTCCACTGTTCAGTGACTGCAGAAAGGGATAAACAACACAGCAAACGCAGGAAAGTACCAGCACCTAGGCCAAAATTCCACCCACTTCTGTAGTGGACTTTCCACATCCATCTCATGCTTTTCCACGTGACTTCCAAAACTGCAGAAGGACAACACAGCCGAATCAACAGTGAGGTTTGGAGACATCATAGAGAATTCCTGATGTAGGTGTAGGTTCTACTTCTGGTGAGGAAAGGGAAGGGGATCCACTACTACCCCACCACTATTCTTACCCTGCTCCCTGAGAACTAGACTTGGCAAGGTAAGAAAACATACATCATAACAGTGGGCTTGGCAATCCCTGAAAACAGCTTAACACTTGTAAGGCAGGGTATGTGTGTGCTTACAGACACTGTAGGAATCCATACCTTAGAGTGGAAACACAGTTTGCTTCACAGACTACTGGTATACCTCCACGAATAGCCCACACACTATGAATCCCAGATTCAACTCCAGTTTCATAATCAAGTAGACTGAGAGGGTGTGTGGGGCAGTCTGTGAATTCCTTAACCACTTCTCATTTGGGTACACCCTTGAAAAAAAGAGTGTGATATAACTGTCTAAGGATACTGTACAGATAGAGCAGGAATCAAACAAGAGAGGATGGGCAAGCATAAGACAGAGTAACATGAGCAGCCAGGGAGCTTGCAGAAGGTCAATTAATCTGGTCTTCAAAAGAGACCCCAAGTTTTCCTGCGAGCCATCTTGGGGTTTGTTCAGCCAGCAGTGTATACATGTGGTTTATGTGCCCCTCTCCCCCAGTCTTTCCCTTGTGAAATGCAGTGAGTTTATTAGACAGAAATCAGAGCAGCCTGTGCACTGGAGCCATTCATCACACCCTTCAGCTACAGGAGATTGGCTAAAGTTTGTATTCATAATTAATTTTCCCTCAAATGTGGTAAAAAATGACTACATAAAGTATCTCAAATCATATCTACTCTTACTGTGTTCCTATTTTAAGGTGCAAACATTTTTTTCAGTGATTCCAGTGGAAAGAAAGATCTTTCCAAAACAGATTTTTAAAGCATATTCTTCACAATATTAATCTAAATTTACACTCAAACTACAAGGCTGTATCTATCACTTATGCACCTATTATACTGTAAACTATAAAATGTTTCTATGATACATGACCCTAAGAAAGCCTCACAAAGAAAATCAGCCCAATTAACTACTTGGATAATGCTGATTCAGAAAGCTAAACTAGCTAGTGGTGTGATGTTGAAACAGTAACTTTTAGTTACACTAACCTCATTTCCCACCTGATGAAGACTCAAAGAAGAATGGGATAATTAAAGGCAACATGGGCAGTAAGAAAAGAATTTAAGCCAATAAAACCATAACTACAAACATGGGGGGGATGGTAAAATTTGCTGTCCTTATAAATCATGCCTCTGTCCAGTGCTGCTGAGTCAGGAAGAAAAGGGGGGGGGGGGCTCTCACCAAGCATCAGGAAACTTGGTCTTGAAATCCCCTACCTGTGTCTCCCTCAACAAGCTGTGCCTGTAGAACTTGCAACTATTTCCTCAAGTGTAAGATGACAAACCTAGGCTTTCAGCTTAAGAACTATTACCAGTACTCCTTCCTCTGAGGTCTATTTTCCAAGGTGTTTGTGAGAACCACACCAGAAAACCTACCAAAAGCCTATGTGTACTTCTGAGAATGTGGTTCTCAAACGTTCAGGTGTCTTGCAAGCCACATGAAACTGCTGAGGACTGAACAGGTCAGGCATCTAGGGAAGGGCTCAGGACAGGAGGAAGATGGGAAGTAGGAGCAGCTGGGAACCAACTTGGGCCAGGGAGCAGGAAGCAGAGGCAAGAGATACCCTAGGTCTCTAACCTATGCAACCTCAACTTGGTAGCCATAAATCTGACCAACTCACCCACAGACCTATATATGGAATTCAATGTAAAGAAAAATAAGGGCCCCTATTTAGGAACCAGGATATTTCATGCAAAAGCCAGGGTATCTTGATTCATTAGCCTCAGAAGATCCAGCAACTACTCCTGGAGCTTAGAGAAAGCTGACCCAAAAAAGAGCTAAAAGCTCTCCAAGTCCCAAAGCTAACTGCCAATGTCACTAACTCTTAAAATGCCAGCCTAGCTGGCAGCACTCCGAGAGAAAGTTAAGGCCTCCTACCCTAAATCTTCCCTCAGTAACCAATTAGCTTATTACACGAATCATTACCACCACACTTGGGTGCTCAGTAAAGAAAAGCAACAGAAGCCCACCGAAATGCACTACCCAAATGAGCTATTCCATTAACAAGGCTTCAAAAGACCCCTTTTTAGGAGATTCAAAGAACGCTGAAGGACTATTTAGACCTACCTTACAATTTAAATTTCAGGTCAATAGAAAATTAGTCTGGGGCTGAAGAGATGGCTCCGTGGTTCGGTTCCCAGCACTCACATGGTGGCTCACAACCATTTGTAAGTCCTGGGGTTCAAGTCCCTCCTCCGACCTCCTCAGGCACCAGGCACTTACGAGGTACACAGACACACATGCAGGCAAAACACTCCTACACATAAAACAAATCAATCGGTCAAAAAGAAAAATTAAATAAAGGAAGTCAGTCAAATTGGCTGGCTGAGCTTTTGATCTTGTAAGCCCAAAGGCATATGTAACCGTGCCACGAACTCTGAGGTGCAAACAGCTCCAGACCACGCAAAATGTAAGCGCTTCTGACTTAGGCCAACAAGGAACTGCTCTAAAACCGCACTAATTTGTGTGTGTGTGTGTGTGTGTGTGTGTGTGTGTGTGTGTGTGTGTGTGTGTGTGTGTTTGTGTGTAAAAAGCAATGGCCGGACGACACCGCGCCAGGCTCTGCAGAGGGGCTAGCCTGTTGCCAAAGTCTGTCCAACAGGTGCAAGCAACACTCTTCCCAGAGCAAAGGCGTAGCGAGGTAGGCAGGTCTGGCGGTGACAGGGGCGACCTCACTTCCTCCGAGCTAGGTAGGAGGAAAGAGCTAAGGGAGTGAGTCGGTCATGAACTAAGACTCTTCGGATCTCTTCCCCGAATTCCCAGAGCTTTTCTAACCTTAGGGACCGACAGCTGTCAAAGCCGGAGCAGGGCGGCCTGGGTGACCCAGCTCCAAACTCCGACTCCGTCCTACTCGCCCCCCACGGCTCGCCGCGCCCGCGCCGCCCCGCCCCGCGCACTCACTGCTCGGCCGGGCACCGCATCGCGGCCCGGGGCTGCGCGCTGCTCGTCACCTTCCCGCCGTCCCGCGCCGCGGCCCCCGCCTCCCGCGCCGGCGTCTCGGCGCAGCTCGCTCCGGGCCACGCTCCAGGCTGAGGCATGGTTCCCCGACTCATGGGCGGCCACGCCGGGCCCTGCGGTCCGGCCGTCGGGAGCCGTGGCTACGTTGCGCTGGCCCGCGCCTCGCGAGGTGGCTCCGCACGGCGCTTCCGGTAGCGTCGCAGCGGCCCCGCCCCGCGCCCTTTGGCCCGCGGCGAGGGGGCGTGGCGGGAGAGAGGTGTCCGGAGGCGGGGTACGCTTGCGCAGAACTGCCCGAATCGCGGAGCCCGAGTTGGCCTGCGCCACACGTCCGCTGCTCACGTTCGGATAGCGCTCGCGGACGCGTCCCCCTCGCCTGGGATAAGCAGGCGGGAGTAGTGGGTGGGTATGGGAGGTCGAGCAGGAACCCCCCAGGCCGGGCGGTGTGGAGATAGAAGGCCCTGATAGTGCAGGGTTCCGAACGTCAGCCTCCGTCCCTGCAAAACTCCGGTTGGCACCGTTTCCCGAGTGACAGCTCTGCCGCCGGAGCCCTCGTGGTCTTGGCGGCGGCTGTGGGACCACAATTGAGCAAGCGCAGCACTGTGTGTCATTCTGAATGTATTGCTTCGTATGGGTGGTTGTGATTTAAGAATGAGAGCAAAGGGCTGGTATTAGCAGGCTTCCAAGAGCTGAAATGAAATGTTTCATCCCCGAGGCCGTAGGGGCGCAGACGCCAAGGTGAGTAGGTGAGTGAGTTAGGCTTAGCTCCACCCTTGAGTGCAGAACCACAGCGCGGAGCGTGGCGTGGCAGGGACAGATCGGAAGCCTGCAGGAGGTTCAGGAGCAGAGCAGGTAGATGGCAGTGGATCTTACCTGACGCGGGAAGTCAGGTCAGTAAAAAGCCAAGGCGGATTGGTCTTCGTTGAGTGCTCTTGAGATCATTTTGGAAGATCATTTTTGCCTGTAGTTAAAGGATAGAGCTAAATTAATGTTGGGGGTGGAGAACACTAGTGTTAAACACCCTACAAGGCTGACTAACACTACTTTGATTATGCCGCGCTAGAATGATTAGGAACAAGCTGCTTGGGCTATCTTCAGTTCCCCTTAATAGCCATTGATTGCCAGCCTCTGTATTGATGTAACTTCACTGTGGCTGTTAGGTAAATCTTTATGGAATGTACAGCCTCTTTCACCAACCCAAGAACGGGGAATAATATCAGATAGCACCTGAGACCTGTAACAAATATTTATTCCATCTACTTGATTTTCCCATCAAAGTATTTTAAAATACCTATTTTATTCATTCTGTTACTATAAAAACAAACGAAAAAAATTATGAAAGGGTTACCATACTGGAACGTATTTGAGATTACCCAAGTCTGTATTCCTGAACTGTGGTACCTCATATTGATCTGGCTTCAGAATAAACTATCTCTTACTCTCTTTCAGGTGAAACTGTTCTTTGTATAGACAACTTGGAGATAAACTTAGGGAGGTGGGGACATCAGAGGGTAAACTATAGAAAGAATGTCTTTTGAGACAAAGAACTCTGAGGTATTCTTTTGTCTTTTTTTTTTAAGGGTAAGAAACACACGTGCTAGAAATTCAAAGCGTAAAAGGATAAGCAAACTGGCTGTGGATTTTAAGGATGTGGGGTTGTGGTAGGTTAAATAGTATGTCACCACCCCAGTTCATGTCCATCTGGAACTTCACAGGAAAGAACCTTTGTATATGAATTAGGTAAGGTGATATCCTGCTGGATTAGGATGTTCCATAAAGCTAGTGACTGGTGTTCTGAGAGGAGAGAGCTTACACAAACATAGAAATGGCAGAAGGAAGAAGGCAGAGACTGGAGGAATGCAGCTGTAAGCTAAAGAATGCTGGAAGTTGCCAGGGCTAAGAAAGTTAAAAGGGTTATCCAAAGACCCTTCAGAAAAGGCTTGGTCCTGCCAGCAATTTCCTTTTACACTTAGAGCTTCCAAAACTTTAAAGGTAGGCCACTGTTTCATGCCATCTGGTTTGTTGTACTTTGTTATTAACAACCCCAGGAAATTAAGGCAAGGCTCAAGATGTGAATATTTTAAATTCTACCAAGCTAAATATGCTTGTAAGGGGCTTAACAGGTGTGATAGTATGACAGGAAATGCCCCCCCAGAGGGAGTGGCTCTATTAGCAGGCGTGGCTTTGATGGAGTGGATGTGGCCTTGTTTTAGGAAGTGTGTCACTGTGGAGTTAGGCTGTGAGGTCTCCTTTATGCTCAAGCCATGCCCAGTGAAACAAACTTCATTGCCTGTGAGTCAAGATGTAAGAACTCTCAGCTCCTTCTCTAGCACCATGTCTGCCTGCATGCTGCCTTGCTTCCTACCATGCTGACAATGGTGGACTAAACCTCTGAAACTGTAAGCAAACTACCACAATTAAATGTTTTCCTTTGTAAGAGTTGCTGTGGTCATGGTGTCTCTCCACAGCATTAGAAATCCTAACTATGACAACAGGTAAAATACTGGGTTCAGTATTTTATTTCAAAGGTTTAAAAAAAAATACTTTCATGGTATGTTTAAATATGGAATAGATCTTTTTCTGTTATGTTAAACCTGGCAAATAACTACAAGGTGGGTTTGGAAATCCACTGTGAGAGGAACTTGAGTGAAATTCTCTCTCTCTTAACCCCCATCCACCCAGAAGTGTCCACACTAAAGAAAGTGAAAGTATGAGAACTACGAGAATATATACACTAGGAAGCATCCAAAGACTTAGCCAAGAGCTGAACGATCTGGGGAATTCTGGCCAGGCAATAAGTAAATCAGAAGCAATACCTTTCTTGGAGGGATTGCAAAGATTAGTGCCCGGTCAGACTTGAAATTTGCATCGGTGGTAATAGCACTATATCCCTTTCCTGCTCACATATTATCATCTAGAGAACACAAGCAGATCCTGAACAATGACACTGAAGTCACACGCTCAAATATGTGTTAATTCCACTTTTAGTTCTATCAATCATTTGCTAGCTATGGATCTAGAAAACACCTTTTTTTTTTTTTTTTTTTTCTCCTGTGCGTGTTGAAAAGAAAGCCAGAAGGGTTTACTTTCAATGGGAAGGACTAGGAATAAGCTTCTGTGTGGGTACTTAGTACACAGCAGCCTCCATGTTCACTCTTCCCTCCCACAAAACCCCGTACTTATCCATTACAATGATGGTAATAGGCAGAAAGTCGGGAAATAGGAAGAAAGAGAGGGATATCCTTAAGTTCAGCAGAGGCTGTTTCACCTCAAGCATTCATGGCTCAAGGCTAAAATCTTGGGAAAACAACATCCACCAATGCCACCCCAAACCAATAGTTTCCAGAATGAATTTCATAGACAACTTAAGGGTGAGGATTAGAAAGTATGTTTTTAATAGAAGACAGTCAAGACAAAGGAAGTAAGCAGGAGGGGAATCCCAAGAAAGCTGGTCACTGAGGTCTTTGTTAGTAAGGCTTTACAAGGAGAGTTGAGGCATAGGGAGGTCAGCTGATCAGGGCAACATGCCTAGGCATGACTTGTTCATATGCTTCTCCATTCTAGTGGGTGGACTGGAGTTTTGGGCACACCTTCAGAACTAACAGCTTCCAGGCAGCTCAGCTCCATAGGTTGCTATATGTCTTATTTATATTCCCTATTGCTGTGATAAAATACCCTGCCAAAAGAAATTTAGGGGGGAAAGTTGATTTAGGCCCAAAGTTCTGAGTTACACTCCATCACTGCAGGATGGTCAAGGCAGCAGGAACCAGAAGCAACTAGTTACATCTAGTTAAGAGTAGAGAGAGAATACTATGTATTTCCCTGTGCTCAGCTCACTTTCTCCCATTTTACATAATTAGTCCATGACCCAATATTAGGGACAGTGTTGCCCACATTTAGGCTGTATCTTTTTCCCATGATCTAGCCTAATAAAGACAATCTCCTCCATACATCGTATGGCCCATCTGACTCAGATACCCCTCACCCAGACTCCTCTCCAGGCTATTCTAGGTTGCATCAGCTCGACAAAATGAACAATCACTTTATATAAAAGGAGAAAAAAGGTAAGAAACCAGAACGTGATCTAAGGTCCCTAAATGTTTTGAACACTCATGGCCTCCAGCAAGGACAGAACCACAGCTACAACAGTCCCAGCTTCTGGCTTCTGTTTGCCAGGAACAAGAAGCAGAGCTGCCCTTTTCAGGTACACTCCCCTAACCTGCCTGGGAGTTTCTTCTGTTTTTGTCAGTAGCAATCGCCCTGGACCTGTTGGTAATGCTTCAGTGTCATGGATGAGGAGCATCTCCCCCAGATTCTATTTCAGTGAAATTTTAAGATGTCAGGATGTCACTTCTAAGATGAAAGTTGTTGTATCTGGCCCTTCCTACAGAAAGTAGGGCATGGGGATGGATGGCAGGCTCTGTGCCCAGTGGGAGAAGAGAAAACTCTTCAGCAGGTCCAGACTAGTAAGCAGATCACTGTGCCACTTGGGCCACATGAGCTTGCAAATCCAGTTGTGCTTGACGTGGGACTGGCATATTTAGATGCCGTTTCATCTTTGGCAGGCACACAGAGGTGAATCACGGTACAAACTCAGCCTTTGGAATAAAGCTCTGCTTTCTCTGTGGAAAACTACTCTGTCTTAAGTCTGAATGCTGGATGTTGGTCAGAATTGAACACTGAGAATACCACTTTACTATGTGGTCTGAACTCAGTGCCAAATCATGTTGCCAGTAAATAGTGTTGGTATGATCTAACTGCACTTCTGTGCTGTTCCTCCCCAAGCCCACAGTCCCAGAATAATGGGGGAGGGGGCATTCAGAGAAGAGAAGAAGGACATCCTGTAAGATATCTGACCAGGCTGGAGAGATGGCTCAGCTATTAAGAGCACTTGCTGTTCTTACAGAAGCCCTGAGTTTCCCAGAACCCACCATGCTATCTCACAACAACCTGTGACTAATTCCAAAGGCTCCAAAGGCCTCTTCTGACTTCCTCAGACACTGCACTCAAAACACTCATACATACATACACACAAACACGCGTACACATGAAAGTAAGGTAAATCTTAAAACAGAATTCTTCAGAACTGTCAAGATCTTCAAAAGGAAACAATTTAAGACACCATTATAGCCAGAGGTAATGGAAG